ATAATCATACCCATCAGAGACTATGAAGGCAAGTTACAAAGTAGAGACATCTAATCTGTACCTGGGAAGTCAAACAGGAGCAGTCTAGGAGTTACAACATTCTAGCCTGAGATCTGTATTCTGAGGCCAATAGGCAGTTGGATAACAAGGCAGAAAATTGAGCTCTGTAAGCATATCATTTGTCTCTTAAGTGAAAAACTGACATCTGACTAATGTGTCTTTTTTTAAAGTTAGAAATCTATCAGAACAGGATCTTTAGAGAAACTGATTATTTCTCCAGAATAAAGAGCATATTAATAGAAAGGATTCAGCTTTCAGTAACGGCTGACTGTTACAGAACGTCTTACGAAACATTCCTAAAGGCTTTACATCACTGAGAAAAGTTAGTTCCTAGTTCTGAAGGATTTCATTCAAAGTGCAAGGCTCATGTTAATAGGAATATGCTTGCATATTCATGTGTTATCTGTATTAAAAATACTTGAGAAGATGATTTGGAAATCTCAGTTTTAAATCTTCAAGGCAAGAATCTTGCTTGTTTTGTTGCTAAGGAAGATGAATGGGTTGAAAATAGTTTTAAAGTCCTTTACGGGCTGTCATGAGTCTAAAGAGGGTAAACAGGTTAGGTTTGTTATCCCAGAAGCTAGAGGCAAGATTTTTACTCAGTTCTTACAACATTGCCACAAACATGTGGATTCTGCAAAAGTTGCCTAGCAACATTAGTTAGAAACAAGGTTGGGTGGAGGAAGGAACTGGAAATTTGAATTAGATATGGCCTGGGGCAGGCGGGTGTGACCCATCTCTCCAGTACAGTATGTGCTGTACTCAGAGGAGTGTGAAATTTAAAAAATCAGAACAGTCACTAAAAGTTTCAGTTAGGATGTTGCTGCAGTTAAATCATAATATTGTGCCATGTTCTCAGCCTGAAGAGGCAGGGCCCGAGTTTCTCACACATTTTGGCACTTTCGTTTTAAAGATCACTGAATTTTCATTTAATTATTGCAGAAACATTTATTAAGCACTTTCTCAGGGGCCAAGGCACAGTGTTGGTTGCTGGAGCTCTGAAGACAAATATAATTTGGACCCAATCCTGGCAGTAGGAAAACCAGACAAATAAACAAAGTATGAGTGTTACAGAGTCCAGGATGGGTGCGGTAGAAAGTCTGGAGTAGGGAATGGAGAGAGTCAGGAAAGACTTCACAGAGGAAACGGCTGTAGCACTGAGTCTTGTTTTCAACTTAAAAAAAAAAAATTCCGCCGGGCGCGGTGGCTCAAGCCTGTAATCCCAGCACTTTGGGAGGCCGAGGCGGGTGGATTACGAGGTCAACAGATCGAGACCATCCTGGTCAACATGGTGAAACCCCGTCTCTACTAAAAAATACCAAAAAAATGAGCTGGGCATGGTGGCGCATGCCTGTAATCCCAGCTACTCAGGAGGCTGAGGCAGGAGAACTGCCTGAACCCAGGGGGCGGAGGTTGCGGTGAGCCGAGATCGCGCCATTGCACTCCAGCCTGGGTAACAAGAGCGAAACTCCGTCTCAAAAAAAAAAAATTCCTTCAGCCAGGTGCAGTGGCTCATGCCTATCTCCCAACACTTTGGGAGGCTGAGGCAGGTGGATCACTTGAGTCTAGGAGTTCAAGACCAGCCTGAGCAACATGGTGAGATGTGGTCTCTACAAAAAATACAAAAATTCGCCAGGCATAATGGCACTCTCCTGTAGTCCTGGCTACTCAAGAGGCTGAGGTGGGAGAATCGCTGGAGCCCAGGAGGGGAGGTTGCCGTGAGCCATGATCACACCACTGCATTCCAGCCTATACAATAGGGCAAGAGCAAGACCGTTGTCTTAAAAAAAAAAAAAAAAAAATCTTTCTTTCCCCCAGTCATTCTACACATTTGTCGTGAACTTACCTCTTCTATTCTGTGTGAGGACTTCAAAGTCCTGGGTCTGTGGACCAAGAACTCTTCCCTTGCTGGGCGCAGTGGCTCACACCTATAATCCCAGCACTTTGGGAGGCTGAGGCGGATGGATCACGAGGTCAAGAGATGGAGACCATTAGCTGGGCATGGTGACACGTGCCTGTAATCCCAGCTACTCAGGAGGCTGAGGCAGGAGAGTTGCCTGAACCCAGGAGGCGGAGGTTGTGGCGAGCTGAGATAGTGCCATTGCACTCCAGCCTGGGTAACAAGAGCTAAACTCCATCTCAAAAAAAAAAAAAAAAGAGATCGAGACCATCCTGGTCAACAAGGTGAAACCCTGTCTCTACTAAAATACAAAAATTAGCTGGGCATGGTGGTGCGTGCCTGTAGTCCCAGCTACTCGGGAGGCTGAGGCAGGAGAATTGCTTGAACCCAGGAGGCGGCGGTTGCGGTGAGCCGAGATCGTGCCATTGCACTCCAGTCTGGGTAACAGCAGCAAAACTCTGTCTGGGGGGGTGGGGGGGGGGAGGAAGAACTCTTCCCTTTCCATTGAAAACCCAAACCCTTCTGCCTTAGCCTGCTTCAAAGACCTCCCAGTTTAGGGAAGCAGGCAGTTGGCAAAGTAGGAGTTGACAAAACAAAACATTGTTAAGAGTGTTTACCTTCAGAAAGGGGAATTGGGCTGGGAATTGAAAGGATAGGTGGGAGAATTTTGTACCATTTAAATTTTTGTTATTACCTCTACAATCTTGCATTGAATAGAATAACAGAGTGGTAATCTCTGTTCAATTTATTTTTTTTCCTGAGATACTTCTCACTCTGCTGCCCAGGCTAGAGTAGTACAGTGGCACAATCATGGCTCACTGCAGCCTCCCTCTTCCAGGCCCAAATGATTCTTCCACTTCAGCCTCCTGAATAGCTGGGACTACAGGCATGTGCCACCACGCCCAGCTAATTTTTAAACTTTTAGTAGAGATGAGGTCTCACTATGTTGCTCAGGCTGGTCTTGAACTCCTGGCCTCAAGTGATCCTCCTATCGACCTGTTGGGATTATAGGTGTGAACTACCATGCCCAGCTCAAAATATTAAATAGGCAAACTTATCTACAAATATGCCAATTTAGGAAGCAAATAAACTAACAATTATTTAATTCAGGGCTCTTTTATGACTCACAAGGGAGTTAGCACCTAATCCAAATTAGAATACTGCAATGAACAAGGAACAGAAGGTCCCTACCCGCAGGTTCCTTCTTTTTCTAGAAGGAGATAGTAATAAATTAACAACATACTTTGAGATAGAAATAAGCCTGCTAAGGAAATAAAGCCAGGTGTTGTGAAAGGGCAAAGGGTGAGGGAAGGGTCGTGAAACAGATATATAGAATTCTTACATAGGAGGAGTTTAGGAGCATCAATCTAGTTGTGGAGAGGTGTCTAAGGGGCTTTAAAGTCCCATTTACTTGGAAAGCACACTATTTTCACATGCAGTTTATGTTACAGATAGATAAAAGTAGTAGTTTTCTAGTTTTTTAAATTTATGCTTCATATTGAGAAAATGTCAATTATATTAAATAATTATGTTTGTCATCAGGAGTGGCAGGAGGGGGCCCACAGCCTGGGCAGCATGGTGGCTCATGCCTGTAATCCCAGCATTTTGGGAGACCCACAGGCGGATTGCTTGAGTTCTAGACCAGCCTGGGCAACATGGTGACACAGTCTCTATTAAAAATACAAAAATTAGCTGGGCACTGTGGCACACCTGTAATTCCAGCTCTTAGGGAGGCAGAGGTGGGAGGCTAGCTTGAGCCCAGGAGTTTGAGATCTGCCTGGACAATATAGCGAGACCCTGTTCTCCACAAAAAAAAGGAAAAAATAAAATAAAAAATTAGCTGGGCATGATAGCACATGTCCTTAGTCTTAGCTATTCAGGAGGAATAGGAATAGCTATTCAGGAGGGATAGGAATAGCTATCCCTATTCCTGAGGTGGAAGGATCTCTTGAGCCTGGGGAGATCGAGGCAGTGAGTCATGACTGCACCACTGTACTCCACTTTGAGACAGGGTGGACAGAGTGAGACCCTGTCTCAAAACATAATGTTTTAGACTTTTTTTCTTTTCTATGTTTACAGAAAGATTTTTTTTTTTTTTGAGACAGTCTTGCTTTGTCACCAGGCTGGAGTGCAGGAGTGCAGTGGTGGCATCTTGGCTCACTGCAACCTCCACCTCCCGGATTCAAGCGATTCTTCTGCCTCAGTGAGTAGCTGGGACTACAGGTCCGAGCCACCACACCCAGCTAATTTTTGTATTTTCAGTAGAGATGGGGTTTCACCATGTTGGCCAGGATGGTCTCGATCTCTTGACCTCATGATCTGCCCACCTTGGCCTCCCAAAGTGCTGGGGTTACAGGTGTGATCCACTGTGCCCGGCCAAAAAATAATTTTTTAAAAAGGAGTGGCAGGAGGGGAGGTGTTGTAGGGAGGGTTCTGAAAACCACTAGTTGGCTTTGGCCACTGTGGATCACAGAATAACTTTCTTTATACAAGTCTAGAGTTGTTGTTCTCCAAGAGCTTAAAATTAAGTTTGCATGAACATATAAAAAATACATTTATATGTGCCTACAGCCCAGAAAAAAAAAAATTACATTTATATACCAGTTAGCAAATGTTAGGAGAAAAGACAGCTGTTGATCCTCCTTCACTGTGTCTTCAGTTGTGTGATCTCAGAAAATTCCTGATTTGATGTGTTAAATACTACCGTGTGTTTTCATGAAAAAATCAGCTTGAGTTTATTTAGCCTTTGAAAAGCATTATAACAACATATATGACAGTGTTAACATCTATAAAGAGCTAACAATAAGAAAAATAGGCAGTAGAAATAAATGAAAATCATTATTAAACCCACGACAGCTGTCCAACAATATGAATCAAAACAACAAAAACACATTAACAAACATTAAATAACAATTGATATCCAGAATTCACAGCGTGTGCTCTAATCCACTGCTAGTGAGAATGTAAATTGTGTTTTTGGAAGGCAGTTTGCCAGTTTATATATATATCCTTTGACTCAGCAATTCTTACTCCAGGGATGTAGCCAAAAGAACATTTTTAAAAGGCCAGGCACAGTGGCTCACGCTTAGCGCTTTGTGAGGCCGAGGCAGGCAGATCACCTGAGGTCAGGAGTTCAAGACCAGCCTGGCCAACATGGTAAACCCCGACTCTACTAGAAATACAAAAATTAGCCAGATGTGGTGGCAGATGCCTGCAATCCCAGCTACACCCAGCTGAACCCTGAAGGAGGAGAGGTTGCAGGTTGCAGTGAGCCGAGATCATGCCACTGCACTGCAGCCTCGGTGACACACCGAGACCTTGTCTCAGAAAAAAAAAAAAAAAGAAAACTGCAAGAAACTTGTATGTGCATTAAGGGACGGATTAAATCGGTTTAACGGAGCACTAGCGAAATTTTTTTTTTTTTTTTGAGACGGAGTTTCGCTCTTGTGACCCAGGCTGGAGTGCAATGGCACCATCTTGGCTCACCGCAACCTCCGCCTCCTGGGTTCAGGCAATTCTCCTGCCTCAACCTCCCGAGTAGCTAGGATTACAGGCACGCGCCACCATGTCCAGCTAATTTTTTATATTTTTAGTAGAGACGGGGTCTCATCATGTTGACCAAGATGGTCTCGAGCTCTTGACCTCGTGATCCACCCGCCTCGGCCTCCCAAAGTGAGCCACCGCGCCCGGCCGGGAATTTTTTTTTTTTTTAATTGCATTTAAGTTTGCAGCGAGCCGGGCCAATCGGTTTTGCCAACGCATGCCCACGTGCTGGCAAACAAATGTAAACACTGAGGTCCTGTGCTGGTTTCGTGATGGGCAACTGTGCTGCTGTTTCTTTCCGCCGCGGACAAGGTCGGCTGCAAAGGTGGCCCCCGGCTAGGGAGAGCTCTTCTGGCTGTGGAGACACCCGCCCACCCAGGGGAAATACTGGGGCTCAGAGGCCGCCCCCCAGCTAGTGTCCGGCCTAAACACATCGGCTCCCACAGTTGAGAAAGGTCCTGGGGCCTGAGTCGCCATTTCCGGCTCAGACCTCGACCCGGGAACGTGGGCTGCCCAATGCCACGCCCACTACGTCCCAGTGGTCCGCCCTGAGGGACAAGGGGCAAGAAGTGGTTTTCGGAGAAAGCGGCCGAAGGCTATTAGGTCCCTGGTTCTTCCCAGCTAGCAGAGATCCTGAGACGCTACCCGGCCGCCTGGCCCCCGGCTTCCAGGCCGACGTTCATGTTAGCTTCGGCGAGTCCACCTCTCTTTTGCTCCTCCCAGAAGACCGCCTCGGGTCCCGGGCACAGCCTTGTCCTGGGGGTGTTCAGGCGGCGCCTGGCCGGGTTCCCAGACGCCTGGGCTCGCTCATAGGCCCAGAGCGCCACGGCCCGCCCAGGTCAGGCCGGCGCGGAGCCGGAGGCGGAGCCAGCGGGTTCGCGCCAAAATAGCGTAGCTGGTCCTTCCCCCGCGGGCTACGTCGCGCCCTCTTTTTTTTTTCAAACCCGGAGCTGGACGGGGATTGGTGGACTAGGAACTCACGTGGTTAACGGTCGCGGGAAGCCGCGGAGCCCGAACCTGAGACTGGATCTGAGGAGCCCTCAGCTTCGGTGCTTCCACAGTTCGCTGCTCCCACTGGGCCCCTCTCAGCCGGACAGTCCGCGTCGCAGTCGCCGCCACCGCCCGCAGTCCGAGTGCCCGGGAGCCGCGGCTACCCGCCGCGAAGAGACGCCGCGACCGGGCGCGCCCAGCTGCACGTGGCGGACCCGCCCCCTGTCCCGCAGTATCCTGGACCCCGCGGGCCTCCGCTCTCCAGTCCTCGGCCCCGGCCCCAGGGCCACGATGAGCTTCCTGAGCCGGCAGCAGCCGCCGCCGCCCCGCCGCGCCGGGGCCGCCTGCACCTTGCGACAGAAGCTGATCTTCTCGCCTTGCAGCGACTTTGAGGAAGAAGAGGAAGAGGAGGAGGAGGGCAGCGGCCACAGCACCGGGGAGGACTCGGCCTTTCAGGAGCCCGACTCGCCGCTGCCGCCTGCGCGGAGCCCCATGGAGCCTGGGCCCGAGCGCCGCCGCTCGCCCGGGCCGGCCCCCGGGAGCCCTAGCGAGCTGGAGGAGGACCTGCTGCTGCCCGGCGCCTGCCGGGGCGCGAACGAGGCGGGCGGCGGGGCGGAGGGCGACTCGTGGGAGGAGGAGGGTTTCGGCTCCTCGTCGCCCGTCAAGTCGCCGGCAGCCCCCTACTTCCTGGGCAACTCGTTCTCGCCTGTGCTCTGCGGTGGCCCGGGGGATGGGTCGCCGCGGAGCTGCGGGGCGCGCCAGGGCCCCTGCTCGCCGCGGCCCGACCACCCGGGCACCCCGCCGCACAAGACCTTCCGCAAGCTGCGGCTCTTCGACACCCCGCACACGCCCAAGGTGAGCGCGGCGGGCGCGGGCACCCAGCGGCCGGGGCCGTCCCGGGCCCGCGCCGGCCCACCCTTTTAAAAAGGCCGCGGTGCCGGAGCCCAGCGCGCCGCTGCTCGGGTTCGGTTACATAAGCGGCGGACCGCACCCCCGCTCGCTTTCCTGCGCCGCCCCCCAAAGTTGGCAGCCCTTGTTTTTGGCCCTGCCCCGAGGTTGTCCGTTGAGATTATGTAACTGAACAATGGGCCTCGTCTGGAACTTCTTCGTCTTACAAAGGGGCCGATCGGCCCGTCCAGGTGGCCGAAAATTTGCAGCCTCTTGAGTCCCGGCCGCCCGGAGCATGTCAGTCCCGAGTGCGGCGCCAATAACGCGGTTTGCAAGGATGATGGAGGGTGCTGGCCCGGCCACCTGACACTCCTGAACCATATGGTGCCTTTTAAACGCGGTGATCAGGCCTGTAATTTGGGCGGCGCGGGCAGAAGGAGTTCGGTTTAAAAAAAAAAAAGTCCTGCACTGATGTGTATGGCGTTGATGGGGCGGGGGAAACCAGGGGCGTGCAGGGAGAAACTGCGCTTGTACTTGGGAGTAAAGGCTGGCTGGCCTTCCAAGCATTTACAGTCCCACCGAGGCATCCGTAAGTCAAGGTAACACTAAAGCCTCTTTCTGGACACGGTCTTGGCTTAGCGTTTGTTTATATCGTTGGGTTTGCCGTGCCCAAAGTTTGGTCCGCCTCATTGTGATTAGGGACGTCCCACTGTTGATAAGGTATCTTAAAGAAAGAGGTGTTTAGCGCCTGTGTTTTGAATGGCCTTCCAGTACTGTGCAGATTACTTCTTTTTATTATTTTATAAAGACGGGGCTTCATCATTTGGTCAGGTTGGTCTTGAACTCGTGACCTCAGGTGATCCTCCCGCCTTGGCCTCCAAAGAGCTTCGATCATAGACGTCAGCCAGATTACCACTTTTAAAACAGCAGGTTTTAAAGCTGGTATCCCCAGAGTAAGACAAGCCTCGCATTTGTAAGATTAATATGGCAAAATGTACCTTTTTTTTTTTTTTTTTTGAGAGAGACTCGGTCTGTTGCCACGCGCCAGGCTGGAGTGCAGTGGCACAATCTCGTCTCACTGCAACTTCCACCTCCCGGGTTCAAGCAGTTCTCCTGCCTCAGCCTCCGGAGTAGCTGGGACTACAGGCGCACGCCACCACACCCAGCTAATTTTTGTATTTTTAGTAGAGACGGGGTTTCACCATGTTGGCCAGGATGGCCTCGATCTCTTGACCTGGTGATCCGCCCGCCTCGGTCTCCCAAAGTGCTGGGATTACAGGCTTGAACCACCTCCCCCGGCCGGAAAAATGTACCATTTAAAGTGAGTTTGTTTTGTTTTCAATGTACTGTTTTCAGCAGCCTCAAGAATATGTGCTTTTGAGCTTTTCTGTTTCTTGGCCAACTTGTTCAAGGCAAACTCCCTCTGGAAGTGAGGGGAGGAGTCCAGCGAAGTTGGTTATCAAAGCCCTATTTAGATGGGGGAGGGGAGCTTTTATGGGGCTCTCAGACTGCTTTCTATTTTTGGATGGGTTGAAAGAATTTGCTGACTTTTAGCCACTAGAATGAACTTAGTATTAGGTAGCATTCATATTGTTTTTAGGGTTAGAGACAGATTTTACTTGGCTATTTTTTTTTCCAGAAAATGTGATTAATATCCAGCTTCACACTTCCTAAATTAGCCACAATTTATTTTGCTTGAACTCTAACAAAGGCTTGTGTGTTGCTTTGACCTAGGCATTCAGCCTTGTGAAAGGCTCGTTGAAGGTTAGGTTGAGAAGGCTGACTATAGTACTTGGATCCTAAAAATTGTATTTTTTCTTCCCTAGAGTTTGCTCTCCAAAGCTCGAGGAATTGATTCTAGCTCTGTTAAACTCCGGGGTACTTCTCTCTTCACGGATCCAGAAAAATCAGGAAAAAGGGAATTTGATGTGCGACAGACTCCTCAAGTGAATATTAATCCTTTTACTCCAGATTCTGTGTTGCTTCATTCCTCAGGACAGTGTCGTCGTAGAAAGAGAACATACTGGAATGAGTAAGTCATTTATTTAACAGTGTGCTTCTCTAAATAACCTAAGATTGGCTTGGTATTCTTAACCAAAATTTAGTTTCTATTTAGTGGCATGGATGTATCTGTCAGATCTATTGATAGAAAAATACATATTTTTTTCAGTTCCTGTGGTGAAGACATGGAAGCCAGTGATTATGAGCTTGAAGATGAAACAAGACCTGCTAAGGTAAATAGCTTTTTAGTTTCTTTTTTTTTTTTTAAATTTACTTTTCTACCACTTAAAGTATGCTATGAACATGTTAAGCATTAAAACATAAGGTAGAATGGTTTCTAAATTTCACATAGGCCTATCACCATAGCTAAAAATAATCGTTTTTGTATTATATATATATATATGGAAATGCTTTTCATTACAGAGAATTACAATTACTGAAAGCAATATGAAGTCCCGGTATACAACAGAATTTCATGAGCTAGAGAAAATTGGCTCTGGAGAATTTGGTTCTGTATTTAAGTGTGTGAAGAGGCTGGATGGATGCATTTATGCCATTAAGCGATCAAAAAAGCCACTGGCTGGCTCTGTTGATGAGTATGTATTAAACATTTGTCTTTTGCTCTTTTGTCCCCCATGGTGTTACTAACAAGGTTTTAGGTAATCAAACATTGAATTCTGTCTTTCACTTTTAAGAAGTTGTAATGATTTAATCAGGTCCTTTTCACTTTGTACTATCAGTTCTTAATGGACTTGTTGAATAATACCAGTAGTCTGATTTTGGAACCTAACTTAAATTTCTTATTTCTAGTCAGCATCCATTAATTCACAGTGAAATGGAGTTTATTCTTACCTGAGTCCTAGGGCAAATAACATTTCTTCTTTCTTCTTTTTTTTTTTTTTGAGACAGAGTCTCATTCTGTCACCAGGCACTAGGCTGAGTGCAGTGGCACAATGTCAGCTCACTGCAACCTCCACCTCCCAGGTTCAAGCAATTTTCCTGCCTCAGCCTCCTGAGTAGCTGGGACTACAGCCGCATGCCACCACACCCAGCTAATTTTTGTATTTTTGGTAGAGACGGGGTTTCACTATGTTGGCCAGTGTGGTCTCAATCTCTTGACCTCGTGATCCACCCACCTCGGCCTCCCAAAGTGCTGGGATTACAGGCTTGAGCCACTGCGCCCGGCCTCTTTCTGATAAATCTTTCATGGACTCCTCCTTTGGAAAAATCTCATACCAGTCCAAACCCCTTCTCTCTTAAGCAAGTTGCTTTTTAGCATAGCAGTAGTTACAAAAGTCAAGTTTATTGTATGAAGTTTCAGATAAATTAATTCAATTTAAGCTTGAATTTAAACTATTTACCATTCTATTTACCAAATCTCAATTTTCTCCTAGGCAGAACGCTTTGAGAGAAGTATATGCTCATGCAGTTCTTGGACAGCATTCTCACGTAGTTCGGTATTTCTCTGCATGGGCAGAAGATGATCATATGCTTATACAGAATGAATATTGTAATGGTGAGTGATACAATGGTTCTCTTGTGAGCTTGGGAAAATGAATATCGAGGAAATATCTAAAATCTTGCTCCATTTCTGTCACTTTAATCTTTTAAAAATTTAAATATCAGAGGCCTAACATAAATTTCAAGTACAAGATTAAAAACCTTGTCCCCTCTGAAGCAGCTTGTACATACCTCAGTAGTAGAAGTTTGCATACTATTATGTGCTTGTCACTCCAACAGAACTTTTTGAGAAGACCTTGCCACATATATTTTGGTGACTTTAGTACCTAGCATAGTGTGTGGGGCATATAGTAGTTATGAAATGTTACAGTTAACATTTCTCAAAAAAAAAAAAAAAAAGATGTTATGTTGAATGGATTCTTCCTGTTTCTACTCTTTTATTTCCATTTTATTTGGTGTGCTGCTAAAACTGATGTTTGTCGGTCAGTCTTCATTGATCTAAATTCAGCTGTTTAAGCATTCTGTAGTCCTGCCCTGCTTCCATCTATCCAACCTAGTCTACCACTAGGGTCCACTAAGTTTATTATGTTAAATTCTTTTAGTTCTCTGTTTTGTCTTCTCTCCCTCAAGAACGAAACAAAACAGGCATATATAGATTCAACTTTGGATGTCTTTATAGCTTTCAGTTTCTGTAAGTCCTTCAAGGGCTGATTTACGTCTCTCCTTTTTCCGTAAAAACCTTTACCAAAGTCCTGGTCAGAATTCTGATTCTTAAGGACGTCTATCATTATTATACCCAAATCTTTATATATAATAGATTATTTCTCAACATTTTTGTAGTTTATACGCATGATGATTGGGTTTTCATACTCAAGTGTGAAATGTGCCTCCCTCAAACCTTGTTATGACATTAGCACATTACCAGTCTGAAATGAAAAATATCTATAGATTGTTTTTATTTCCATATGTCTTCTGTGAATAAAGGGAATTTAGAGTTTAGTGAACACTTGAAAGGATATAACTAAGGTTTATTTTTGTTGATTCTCATTATTCCTTAAATAAGAGCAGTTAACTCATAACTTGTAAATAAATAAGTGGTGTGGGTATAGATTCAGATTCTCCATATTTAAAAACAGTGAACAAAACAGAAGTAAAAGATCCATTGTTCAAACCTGATTAAGTTATTTTATTAATTCTCCACACTTGAAAGAACTTGAGTGTCTAGTATACAGCATTGCTGCTAGTTTTTTTCACACAGCTCTTGAAATGTTTCTGTTCATACCATCAGAATACTTATGTATCTCCCATGACCTTATTTTTAGCCTTCATTTTTTAGGTATTGCATTTAACCTACAACAACTTGACCGTAATGTCATCTCCATTCCGTATTTGCTAGACACCGTCTCTTTTCAGTTTCCTTCTTTCTCTCTCACCTTATTGCTGTGAATAGTTCTCTTAACAGAATAGTTCAGTAGTAGTCCAGGAATGACAAATAATGTAGCAACCTACCAGTCAACCTACCAGATGATTTTGAGAAAACTCAACTGGGTCTGAGAGATAGGAAAGAGTGAGTAGTCTTGCTACCCTCTCAGATTACAAAAACATTGTCCTGTAATAATGTTAGATTGTAAAATAATCTATTGAAAATAAGTTATTTTAAAACAATAAAAACACTTGAAGAAAATAAATAGTCCTGAGTGAAACAGGACTGCCTCTTTGTGTGGCTGTTTGTCCTACTTAGATAAAAGAAATTAAGACTGTCTGGATGCATTTGTGATCTCTTCTTTTTAATTCCTGTGTCCACCATTCCTCTTTCCACATAAAGCTTTGAATATACTAATAGGGCTCATCTTCACATCTTTTCCAGTTTCACAGGAAAAGGATTGTGTTATTTATTTGTACTTGAGTAATCTATTGCCTTTATTGTGATTTAATTTCCTTATTATCTTACTTATTTGCATTATAAGACTTTTATCTTGGTTTGGTGATAGATGGGAATTAACCTGTGCAAACAAGTGTAGAAAAATGCTGATGGATAGGGTAAGAGAACCCGAAATGTCAGAACTTGTTTTGTTCTTCTCACCTTTCTTGCCCTTCTAGCAATAAGAGAAGAAATTGGTACATCTGTGGTTGCTGGACTTGCTAAAAAGAGAATTAGCCCTATTTTTTCTTAGCAAATTTGATCTAGGACTCAGCCTGTCTTGTCTGACAGTATTATTGGTCTGCTCCCTTCTAGAGCCCTCTTCCCCGCCCCCCCCAGTTCAAGATTTGTACAAGTAAGGAGAATGTATACTCAAGAATAAGATACTGAGATATGTAATTTATTTTTATTTTTAAAAGCCATTTGACCTTGTGTTATTCAGTCTTAATTAAATTGTAGGACCTCCTTTTCTGACTAATACACCATTGACCTGCCTAATTATATTACCCAGCTCTGACTTTTTTATTCCTAAGCCTTGAACAGAAGTTTTTTCTTTCTTTTAGAGAGATGGAATCTTGCTCTGTCACTCAGGCTGGAGTGCAGTGGCAAGGTCTTGGCTCACTGCAACCTCTGTGTCCAGAGAGAGTTCAAGCAATTCTCCTGCCACAGCCTCCCAAGTAGATGGGACTATAGGTGCATGCTGCCACGCCTGGCTAATTTTTTTTGTATTTTAGTAGAGATGAGGTTTCACCATGTTGCTCGTCTTAAACTCCTGAGCTCAGGCAATCTGCCTGCCGCAGCCTCCCAAAGTGCTAGGATTACAGGCATGAGCTACCACGCCCGGCCAACAGAAGATTTTTAAAACAATTCTTCATTACCTTTGAGATAAAATACAGTCTTTTACAGATTTTTATTTTTTTGAGATGGGTTTCACTCTTGTTGCTGAGGCTAGAGTGTAATGGCACGATCTCGGCTCACCACAATCTCTGCCTCCCTGGTTCAAGTGATTCTCCTGCCTTAGCCTCCCGAGTAGCTGGGACTACAGGCATGTGCCACCATGACCGGCTAATTTTGTATTTTTAGTAGAGACAGAGTTTCTCCATGTTGCTCAGGCTGATCTCGAACTCCTGACCTCAGGTGATCCCCCGACCTTGGCCTCCCAAAGTGCTGGGATTACAGGTATGAGCCACTGTGCCCAAACTTTAAAAATTAAAAAAGATATAAACAAATTAACTGATTGGTTTAATTAATTCTATAAAAGCAGGTTATGGTATCAATCACAGAGTAGTATAAAATAAAACTATACTAAAATACTGACATTTATTTATTTTATTTTTTACTTTTTTAAGAGACAGGGTTTCAACATGTTGGCCAGGCTGGTCTTGAACTTCTGACCTTGTGATTCACCCACCTCGCCCTCCCAAAGTGCTGGGATTACAGGTGTGCGCCACTGCACCTGGCAATACTGACTTTTTAGTATTGTCAAGGGTATGGAGAAACAGGTATTCTCATACGTTGATAATGGGCATATAAATTGATACAGCCTTCTATGGAGAAGAGTGTCTGTGTAAAACACAATCTCCATATATTACAAATGTGCATATCCTTTAACCCAGCAATTTGACTTCTAGGTGATATACTAAATGTGTGTGAAATAACCAATGTACAAGGTTATTTATTAGGCCATAGTATACAATAGCAAAGGCTTGGAAATAATTTTAAAATGTCCAGCAATTGGGTGACTGATAAATGCATTACCATTCAATTATACAATGGAATTCTATAGAGAGAGGAAGAAATGGGTTGTCTTTGTATATTGGTATAGAATGATCATTAAGATAATGAACATGGCCGGGCCCGGTGGCTCACATCTGTAATTCTAGCACCTTGGGAGGCTGAGGTGAGCAGAATATCTGAGGTCAGGAGTTCAAGACCAGCCTGGCCCACATGGTGAAACCCTGTCTCTATTTAAAAAAACAAACAAAAGAGATAATGAACCATATGCTGTTACTTATGCAAAAAGTTGAAAAGATACATAGAACTGATATGGGCATGGTGGCAATGCCTGTAGTCCCAGCTGCTTGGGAGGCTGAAGCAGGAAGATCACTTGGGTTTGGGAATTCTAGGCTGTAGTGCGCTATGCCTATCTAAGTTCAGCATCAGTATGGTGACCTCTCTGGAGTGGAGCACCACCAGGTCGCCTAAAAAGAGGTAAAATGGCCTAGGTCAGAAACAGAACAGGTCAAAACTCCTGTGCTGATAAGTACTGGGATCAAGCCTGTGAATAGGCATCGCATTCCAGCTGGGCAACATAAATAGACCTTATCTCTTAAAAATTAAAAAAGAAGAAAAAAACCTGATAATGTTGTTTTACTCGGGGAATGAAAGAGGTGGGTTGTTGAGGTGTATGAGTGAGAGAGACTACATTTTATTTTGTACCCATGCATATGTATTACCTATTGAAAAAACAATAACATTTTGATTTCACAAGCAGGTTGAAGGGAGAATGTCATATAAAATTACACTTTCTTGGCTGAGGTTGGTTGGTTGAGAACTCGTTCAGTAAAGTTGGAAGAAAGAAGAAAGAAAGAAGAAAATGCTAATATTTTCTATCTTTGTTAGGTGGAAGTTTAGCCGATGCTATAAGTGAAAACTACAGAATCATGAGTTACTTTAAAGAAGCAGAGTTGAAGGATCTCCTTTTGCAAGTTGGCCGGGGTTTGAGGTATATTCATTCAATGTCTTTGGTTCACATGGATATAAAACCTAGTAAGTATTGCAGATCGTTTGACCTGTGTTCTTTGGGGTTATAGAGAATAAATTACTTTATTATGACAATATTGAAAACATATATCTTTTGTTTTTTTATTGTTAGTTTTAAAAGGCCTTGGATCCACTTACCAATATTGTTTTACGATTTCTGTTTACCTCTTCCCTTGTCAACCCCCAAAATTTGAGATGATAAACTTTTTTTTTGAGACTGCGTTTCACTCTGTTGCCCAGGTCGGAATGCAGTGGCGCCATCTCTGTTCACTGCAACCTACTCATTCCGTGCTCAAACAATCATCCCACCTCATTCTTCCCATTAGCTGGGACTACAGGCATGTGCCACCATGCCTAGTTAAATTCATTTTTATTAAAAGCCGAAAATTTTTGCTGCATCTTATAGGAACTGCTGTGGGATACTTACGAGGGCACTAAAAATGTGTTTAAAGCCCCACTCTCCACTAGGCCAGACCATATTAAAATTTTCCCCAGTTGACTCAAGTCCTTAATAGTTGATTTGTTCAAATTAGTATGTACTTAAGGATCATGCATTGCATATGGTTATATCAGTTTTTTTCAGAACCCATCCCCTACTTTGTAAAAATGATGCTTATCTTTCAAGCTATCCCTTTTTCTGGATTTGACTAGTTGCTTCTTGCATATCATTTAGCTTGTTCCTTTTTCTGTATTTCCTATAAATGGGAAGTTATAACTAAGGGATATGGATTCAAGTTAAGCATTTTAGGCTAGATGAATTTAATGAGGTTTTTATTAATCTTTGGAAATGTGTTGATTTGTGAGAAGTCATTTTGTACAACTTTGTGAGTTATATGCTAGAATTTCTTATGTGTATGTTAAGTCATTAACTTTTATTTTCAAAAGAAATATATTTGGACTTAAGGCAGTAAATGTGAATTTGTAAGGAATGACTGTACTCACTCATCTCTTATATAAAGTGTTAGACAAATATAATAGACCCTTATAAGGTATAAAAGTTGAAAATGTTAGGGATATGAAGTTTAAAAATCTTCAAGTTAACAAATACCACCACAAAATAAGTTGTCCTATAAATAAAGTAAAACTGTATAGATTACTCCAGTAAATGCAACATAAATTCCATGCTGTATATTTGTGTGTGTGTGTGTGTGTGTGTGTGTGTATGTGTGTGTGTATGTATGTATTTGAGACAGAGTCTTGCTCTGTTGCCCAGGCTGAAGTGCTGCAGTGGTGTGATCTCAGCTCCCTACAACCTCTGCCCTCCTGGATTCAAGCCATTCTCCTGCCTCAGCTTCCTGAGTAGCTGGGATTACAGGTGCATGTATCCACACAGGCTAATTTTTGTGTTTTTAGTAGTGACAGGGTTTCACCATGTTGGTCAGGGTGGTCTCAAACTCCTGACCTTGTGATCCTTTTACCTAGGCCTCCCAAAGTCATGGAATTACAGGTGTGAGCCACTGTGTCAGGCCCACGCCTTATTTTTTACAGAGATAGTCTCTCTCAGTCGCCCAGGTTAGAATGCAGTGGTGCAATCATAGCTCACTGCAGCTTTGAATTCCTGGGCTCAAATGAACCTTCTGCCTCAGCCTCCCAAGTAGTTGGGACTACAGGCATGCACAACCATTCCCAGCTATTTTTATTTTTATTTTTTCTTTTTGTAGAGACAGGGTCTCACTGTCTTGCCCAGGCTTGTCTCAAATTCCAAATCTTAGGCAATCTTCCTACCTCAGCCTCTCAAAGCACTGGGATTACAGGCATGAGCCACCATACCTAGGCAGTACTATACTGATAAAACTATTAAAATCTGCCACTAACAGCTCATGGTAATCATGATCTCACCTGAATTTGAAGAAAAAGATATATAGTAGGAAATAGTGAATCGCAAAGCCATATTGCAAGCTAGATGCTGTATTGTTAGCCAGACTCACTGGCTAAATGACTCATTCTGCTCACGCCAGCCTCATAGCACTACATTAAAATTTGTGCTTTCACGGAGTTTCACAAACTACAGTTACTACCTTTTTTGCTGAAGAGTAATGTGTGGATGACAAGGGCCTCATGCAGTTTGAAGTGTTTAGGGATCAGTGCTAGGCTGGAAAATAAATACTCAGGCCCAGAGTGGTGGCTCATCCCTGTAATCTCAGCACTTTGGGAGGCTGAGGCGGGAGATCACTTGAGGCCAGGTGCTTGATCAGCCTGGCCAATGTAGCGAAACCCAATCTGTACCAAATAAAAGTTAGCTAGACATGGTGGCATGTGCCTCTCATCCCAGCTACTCAGGAGGCTGAGTAAGAATTGCTTAAACCTTGTTGCAGAGAGCCAAGATGATGCCACTGCACTGTAACTTAGGAGACAGAGCAAGACTGTCTCAAACAAAAAGCAAACAAACAAAAAAAATCCCAGAAAATATAACCCTAGTCTGTATCTCCTGAGATTCTTATTCTTCATGGGTTTGGGATAGAACTTGAGAATTGGCATTTTTGAAAGCATGCTGGATGATTTTGGTGTATGATTTTGTTTATAAACTCTGGTTTTATTATTAGTTTGGCTTACATACTTAACTGTTTGACAGGTAATATTTTCATATCTCGAACCTCAATCCCAAATGCTGCCTCTGAAGAAGGAGATGAAGATGACTGGGTATCCAACAAAGTTATATTTAAAATAGGTAAAAAAGATAACCAGATTATTACCTTAAAATAAAGAGAAGGCTGTTTTGTTTTTGCTCTTGACTATTTTTTTGAATACTTCTAGGTGATCTTGGGCATGTAACAAGGATCTCCAGTCCACAAGTTGAAGAGGGTGATAGTCGTTTTCTTGCAAATGAAGTTTTACAGGAGGTAATTTTCCTTCTCCCTTAATTATAGTTTGCTTTGTAACACTTAGCAGTTGATAGAAGAATATAAATTCAGATGTATTAAACTTTTACGTTAACTAATAGAACAGAAATAAAATCTAAACCATGAGCTGAGGGCATTTAATTTGCAAAAAGTCATGAAGACAAAGATTTATAATGGAATTGTGGTAAAAAAAAAAAAAAGATGTTCTCGTACACCAGTGGTGGAACATTAAAATGGCATATCCTTTTTGGAGATCAAAGTATTATTATTGCATTAATATTTAAAAATCATGTACCCCTTGACTCATAATTTTCACTTCTAGGAGTTTTTCCTATAGAAATATTTATATATAAACAGGTTGAAAACAATGTAAATAGTGTTTACTAATAAGATAATTATTATTATTATTATTATTATTTTTTTTTTTTTTTGAGATGGAGTTTCACTCTTGTTACCCAGGCTGGAGTGCAATGGCGCGATCTCGGCTCACTGCAACCTCCGCCTCCTGGGTTCAGGCAATTCTCCTGCCTCAGCCTCCTGAGTAGCTGGGATTACAGGCACACGCCACCATGCCCAGCTAATTTTTTGTATTTTTAGTAGAGACGTGGCTTCACCATGTTGACCAGGATGTTCTCGATCTCTTGACCTCTTGATCCACCTGCCTTGGCCTCCCAAAATGCTGGGATTACAGGCTTGAGCCACGGTGCCCGGCCTAAGAGAATTATTAAGTAAATAATGGCACATAATTATTAGTGTGGCACATAGTTTCAAGAATGTGACAAAGTATTTCTTGATAAAAATTTTCAATGAAAATAGAATAAGAAAAATACAAAGTGTAATTATGATCCCATTGCTCTTTGTAAATATGTGTATATATATGTTTGGTTTATCACATATATGTGTATTTGTAACTTAACAAGTGTGTTTCTTTTTTTCCCCTCTTCTGATTAGAGAAGATGGAGTTGAATCAGTGTGTTTCTATGTGTTTTGAGTTTGCATATGAATCCCTAGAGGTAGAGGGGTTTCTTTTGAGAGTTAAATTTGATAAAGAAGAGGCATTTACTTTTATATATGTATGTGTTTGCATTTTTCCCCTTAGAGTGTATGTTACTTTGTAATTTAAAAAATAAACCTCCCCAAAATTAGCAGTTTATTCTCTAAATAGGTCCTAAACTTGAATGTGACATTAGACATTTTGATTTAGTCCTGTTTTTCACTTAATCATCTTCGAAGTGTAATCTTGTTTTATTTTGACCAGTTTTACATTACTTAAATATTTTTTTTAATTTTACAGAATTATACCCATCTACCAAAAGCAGATATTTTTGCGCTTGCCCTCACAGTGGTATGTGCTGCTGGTGCTGAACCTCTTCCCAGAAATGGAGATCAATGGCATGAAATCAGACAGGGTAGATTACCTCGGATACCACAAGTGCTTTCCCAAGAATTTACAGAGTTGCTGAAAGTGAGCATTTTATATATGAAGCTCTTTATTGACATGGTTCTATATTTTATTAAGAGCATGTCTTTACCTTAATTTTACTTTTCTTTTTAAGGTTATGATTCATCCAGATCCAGAGAGAAGACCTTCAGCAATGGCACTGGTAAAACATTCAGTGTTGCTATCTGCTTCTAGAAAGAGTGCAGAACAGTTACGCATAGAATTGAATGCCGAAAAGTTCAAAAATTCACTTTTACAAAAGTAAGTGAGGGTTTTTTGTTTTCTTTTTACTTTCTCATTCTCTTTAGTTTTCAAATTTTAATGAGAGATGATTTAAGCTTTGTGTCGACAAAGGATTTTAGAGGGGTGTGTGTGTGTGTGTATGTGTGTGTGTGTGTGTGTGTGTGTGTGTTTGATCATTATGCAAAACAAGTTTTTGTGTTTTGAGACACAAATGATCTGGTCTAATTGTGGCCAGGCTGAAGTACACTGGTACTATCATGGCTCATTGCAACCTCCACTTCCCAGGCTCAAGCTATTCTCTCACCTCAACCTTCTGAGTAGCTTACCCACAAAGCTTAGCTAATTTTTATATTTTTTGTAGAGATGGGGTTTTGCCATGTTGCCCAGGCTGGTCTTGAAGTCCTGGGCTCAAGCCATCCACCTACCTTGGCCTCCCAAAGTGCTGGGATTATAAACGTGAGCCACCTCACCCAGCTCCAGTAGTTCGATATGTTATACAGTGACAGCTTAGGGACTTCTGTCATAAATATTAAATTTGTGTTGTTTCTAAACTTTGATATTATAAACTTTAAAAATGTTGAGACTCTGTGTGGTGTCTAAAAAGAAAAAAAGAAAAAATTATTTAAAAAAAAAAATGTGAGACTAACATATTTGCAAGTGGTGATAGTCTCCAATCCATACATGATAATAAACGCTAAGTGAGCCTATACCGATTTTTTCTTCCCAGACTCACTAAGAATTAATATTTCCTTGAAACATTCTGTTCTTAATTTATGAAATTAATGTCAATTTGGTTAGTAGATGATTCCCATATATGTTTTTAATTTCTGTCTAAATCTTTATGTGCTGAATGAAGATTCTCATATTTGACTTAATGACTTGATATTTTTGAAAAGCTGGTTGCAGTGGTAAAGGTTATTAAGAGAATATTCAGCCGGGTGCTGTGGCTCACACCTGTATTCCCAGCACTTTGGGAGGCCGAGGCAGGCAGATCACCTGAGGTCAGGAGTTCAAGACCAGCCTGACCAACATGGAGAAACCTTGTCTTGACTAAAAATACAAAATTAGCAGGGTGTGTGGCACCCTCCTGTAATCCCAGCTACTTGGGTGGCTGAGGCAGGAGAATCGCTTGAACCTGAGAGGCGGAGGTTGCAGTGAGCCTAGATCGCACCATTGCACTCCAGCCTGGGCAACAAGAGCAAAACGCTGTTTCAAAAATTTAAAAAAGAGGCCAGGCACGGTGGTTCAGGCTTGTAATCCCAGCACTTTGGGAGGCCGAGGTGGGCGGATCATGAGGTCAAGAGATTGAGACCATCCTGGCCAACATAGTGAAACCCTGTCTCTACTAAAAAAATACAAAAATTAGTTGGGTGTGGTGGTGCACACCTGTAGTCCCAGCTACTCGAGAGGCTGAGGCAGGAGAATTGCTTGAACCTGGGAGGCAGTGGTTGCAGTGAGTGGAGATCACACCACTGCCCTCCAGCCTGGCGACAGAATGAGACTCTGTCTCAAAAAATAAAAAAATTACAGAGTATCAAGTTACCACAGATCACATTTTTAATTCCTCTTCTGATGTATTGCAACCATTTTGATTTTCATCTAATAAAACTGACTTGAAAGGTTACGTTAAGTATTAAAATTTAATATTTAAATTATAAAAATTGTATATTAAAGGCCGGATGCAGTGGCTCACGCCTGTAATCCAAGCACTTTGGAGGCCAAGGCGGGCAGATCACCTGAGGTTGGGAGTTGAAGACCAGCCTAACCAACATGGCGAAACCCCGTCTTTATTTAAAAAAAAATTGTGGGCCCTGCGTGGTGACTCAAGTCTGTAATCCCAGCACTTTGGGAGGTCAAGGTGGGTGGATCACGAGGTCAAGAGATCGAGACCATCCTGGTCAACATGGTGAAACCCCATCTCTACTAAAAATACAAAAAATTAGCTGGGCATGGTGGCATATGCCTATAATCCCAGCTACTCAGAAGGCTGAGGCATGAGGCAGGAGAATTGCCTGAACCCAGGAGGCGGAGGTTGCGGTGAGCTGCGATAGCACCATTGCACTCCAGCCTGGGTAACAAGAGGGAAACTCCATCTCAAAAAAAAAAATTGTATATTTAAATGTTTACTGGCCTAGTTTGATATCCATCATAGTTCATACAACTAGGAAATAAAGTTTTCTTTTTGTCTCTGTTATGTAAGGATAGATTCACAATATAAATTGGAATTTTATTTCAAATTATTTCTAATTTTTTTTACTGGGGATAGGTTTGTCTGGAAATTTTTTTTTTTTTTTTTTTTTTTTGAGACGGAGTTTCGCCCTTGTTACCCAGGCTGGAGTGCAATGGCGCGATCCACCGCAACCTCCGCCACCTGGGTTTAGGCAATTCTCCTCCCTCAGCCTCCTGAGTAGCTGGGACTACAGGCATGTGCCACCATGCCCAGCTATTTTTTGTATTTTTAGTAGAGACGGGGTTTCACCATGTTGACCAGGATTGTCTCGATCTCTTGACCTCGTGATCCACCCGCCTCAGCTTCCCAAAGTGCTGGGATTACAGGCGTGAGCCACCGCTCCCGGCCTTGTCTGGAAATTCATTATTATTATTTATTTAAAAAGATGGAGTCTTGCTCTGTTACCTGGGCTGGAGTACAGTAGCACTATCATAGCTCACCATAGCCTTGAACTCTTGAGGCTCAGGTGATCCCCCAATCTCAGCTTCCAGAGTAGCTGAGACTACAGTTGTGAGTCACCACATCCAGCTCAAATTATTTTATAAGACCCAAAGTCATTACTAGTATCTTTTATTATTTGTTTCCAAGTGTGTGATATTTTAATTTAAAAAGCACAAAATCATTTCATAAATTTAAGTTGTTTTAATAGAAGATTCAGTTACATGTTAAATTCTTTTCTTCAGTTATATCTTGGAATAATGATGGCATGCAATTATCTCCCAGTCGATAATATAGTTTGTGTTTAGCTTCTTAGGATCTCTTCCTAGGATTATTTATCTTGTTTTCTATTTTTATGCCAGAGAACTCAAGAAAGCACAGATGGCAAAAGCTGCAGCTGAGGAAAGAGCGCTCTTCACTGACCGGATGGCCACTAGGTCCACCACCCAGAGTAATAGAACATCTCGACTTATTGGAAAGAAAATGAACCGCTCTGTCAGCCTTACTATATACTGAGCTACTCATTTCCCACCTCCCCCTATAAACTGTGATGAGAGGAAGCTAGGTTGGAATCAGTTTGCAATTACTTTTCTCAATTGGTGTCAGTAGTTTTACTGATTAGGCCTTTTATTGTGAATTACAGTTGAAAGCTGTATTTTGACCATTGCTGTGTCAGGCTTTCATCTAATCTTACCAGTGTGTCTTCTGTAGGATGTGTCACTGTTGGATGTTACACCAGCCTTTCCAGGGTTAACCACTGTGGTGGTGTGCTGCTTATAGTTTGCTGTTGCATTGTAATAAAAGGTGTCTTTCCCTGTAGTGACCTGTAAAAAGAACTCAAGGGCTTTATTACAGACATACTATCCCTTTGAAAAGGGACGTGCTAAAAGACTCATTACTACTCAGCCTTCAATGTACCTATGTGTCCCTCTTATATTTCTTTTTTTTTAAATTGTGAATTATACTTGTATATCCCACTGGGAGCACTTTGTAGGCATTGCATGAACCATGGGATGATAATTCTGTGGAAGTATTGCCTTGTGAATTTGCTGCTATTTTAGTTTTGTCTTTGCTGTAAACTTGTAGCATTAAACAATCATTGTTGTGAATAAGTTTTCGAAACAATTATGTGAAATGTATGGCTGGTTTTGATGAAAAGCAGCCATTTGCCTTTTTTTTTTTCCTTTGAACTTTGAAGCTAGTGCATTGGAAAAATGCACCCCTACCCCCCTTTGGAATGCTGTATTAATATAGTATAATAATTACTGGTTTTGTAAGGTTTTCTGGTAATGTCCTTCCCTGACTCCTCTAAAATGTCTTCCCCCAAGTTTTGTACTTGATTGTATTGTTAGTCTGTTTTTAAATGTTTCGCCTGGTTTCTCTTCAATTATTTGTGTATATAAACTGATCTTGATGTTACTGTACATAGCTGTTTGAAATGCCAGAATGACTTCTGACATTCCAAGTTTTTCACAAAATATATTTTATCTGTGATTAGCCATTTGACTAATAATACTGGCTAACAGATGTTGAAAAAAAATTGTCTATTGTTTGTCTCATTAATTTTGGTCTAAAACATGTTTGCACTTGTCTTTGACTTGTGTTTTATTAACATGGATTGGCATATTAAAAGTCACTCTGAGCTTACCTTAATTGTCTAAATCCTTGTTATGCCTATTTTCTAATATTTTATCTACATTACCACTATGTTGTTAAATGTATAGTGTGTATAATATACTATCATAAAAGCAGAGGGCATTTTTGATTGAATATAAAATTTACTGACTTTCATGATGGGCTTTAGAACAAAGCTGCATTTTGCTATTTAAGAAAAATTTACCCATCAACTTTGAATATGTTTTTCATAAATGGTTAATATTTTCATAGCACATTGCATGTTATGCATGTGACTTGCTAAAAATGTAGCATGATGTAATTTAAAATACCTTAAGATTATTAAGTAAATGTATGATTCATAACTGATTTGGACTGAGTCACAGAAGAAAACTAAAATGGGAAGGTTTTTTTTGTTTGTTTTTTAAAAAGATGGGGTTTCACCATGTTGGTCAGGCTGGTCTTGAACTTCCGACCTCAGGTGATCCGCCTACCTTGGCCTCCAAAGTGCTTGGATTACAAGCGTGAGCTACCACGCCCGGCCTTTTTGTTTGTTTTTTTAAGATGGAGTCTCTGTTACTCAGGCTGGAGTGCAGTGGTGCAGTCTCGGCTCATTGCAACCTCTGCCTCCCAAATAGCTGGGACTACGGGCATGCACCACCACACCCAGCTAATTTTTTGTATTTTTAGTAGAGATGGGGTTTCATCATGTTGGCCAGGCTGGTCTCGAGCTCCTGACCTCAGGTGATCTGCCCTCCTCAGCCTCTCAAAGTCCTGGGATTACAGGTGCCCAGCCCTTAAAGTGGAGAGGGTTTTAATTCTTACTAAACTAGGCTGGGTTTTAAGATTTGAGGCCAGGTGTCTTGGCTCATGCCTATAATCCCCACCACTGTGGGAGGCCAAGGCAGGAGGATTGCTTGAGGCCAGGAATTCGAGACCAACCTGGGTAGCACAGTGAAACCCTACCCCTACAAAAAAAAGTTGAGTGCAAATTGAAGTGATAGTGTTACTTCTGTGGCATCTTTTTCTGATGTTGATTAGAACCAGAGCTGGTCTCACTGTTGCTTAGGCTGGTCTTAAATCCCTGAGCCCAAGGGATCCTCTTGCCTCTGGAGTAATTGGGACTTCGAGTGTGTGTAATCATGATCAACCTTTGATATAAATATTTCTAACAAGCTTGATTATATTAGCTTTCTAGTCTATGGAATCTTAAAATTTAGAAGTGAGATGAATTGGTGCAGGCAGAATTAGATATAAAAGCTGGTGGCTATGGGTGATAAAACCTAAAAAGCTACAGGAACTGGAGCAGGCAACTCACATCTTTTAGTAGCTACTAATGACAAAGCTATAAAAAGATTATGATAATTGGGCTGGGTGCTGTGGCTTGCACCTATAATCTCAGTGAGCTACGATACCACCATTGCATCCCAGCCTGGGTGCAGAGTGAGAGCCTGTCTCATATATATGATCACTTTAAGTCACTAAAGTGCATTTTTCCAGTGCACTAGCTTCAAAGAAAAATTCAGGTGTTTTTCATCAATATTTGCAGTAAAATTTTCACATAAGAATATTGGATTAAGAAGGAAAACTGCTATCTGGTGTTCAAAGAGGGAATTCTTAGGCCATCTAAAAGCTAATATGAGAGTTGGATTCATATTTAACTAAAGGTGCTTTTGTAGAGTGCTATGTGATGACTATGCAGTAGACCAAAGACCAGTAAGAATTAGTCTTTGCCCACTAGGAAATCAAGATAAAATAGAGGAGATTTCTGTAAATATATAATGACAACAAAATGTGATAAATGCTAATGCTGGAGGGATTGTGCAAGGTTGAATGAAGGTTCAAAAGACCATACATATCTTTTTTTTTTTTTAGAGACAGGGTTTCACCATAGTGGTCAGACCGGTCTCGAACTCCTGACCTCAGGTGATCCACCTGCCTTGGCCTCCCAAAGTGCTGGGATTACAGGTGTGAGCCACCACACCTGCCTGACCATACATATCTTAAAAAGATACTAGTGGTACATTGGAGAAAAGATCTAGAGAATTATGTTAGACTGGTTTCAAGGTTATTGTATAATAATGACTGTAAAAGAAAGGAGGGCCTGAACTAGGACCCTGCTATGGATAGAAAATAAGAGGATAGGCATTTTCTTTGAACAGTTTGAAACTATGAGCAGTTTATGTTTGTTGCTAATATTGAAGCATTGAAGATTTTTGCAGAAAACTTAACTAAAATGCAGGGGTCTGCTACTGTTTGAGGCAGGTAGTTACCATTGATAAAACTTTTTTTTTTTTTTTAAGAAAGCTGACTTTGGTAAGGAAGAAAATTTTTAAATATTGACTCTGTGATTGGGTAGGAGGTATTGCATATTGCAATTGAATGCAAATTGAAATTGTTGCCTTAACTTCATCCTGCCAGGCATACACGAGCAGTAGGCTTTAATTAATGAACTGAAGTATTTTGAAGAGTCCATTCTCAAGCTTTGATCTTCACTCCACTTTGTTCCAGAAGTCAAGAAACTATGGCATTTTTAAAAAATTTCATAACAACTAGGTTTAATGCTGGCTGTACTGGGTTGCTCCAGGCTGTCTCCCAATTCATGAGCAGCAGCATCCTGACACTAGTTTTCCTTCCTCCCCATATGATCTTCACAAAGCATCTCACTGACTTTAACCAATAGAGCAAATAAGTTGTTGCATTTTTTTTTCTGAGTTGGCTTGCTACAGAATTTGCTGCATTCTCTCTCTTTTTTTTTTTTTTTTGAGACAGAGCCTTGCTCTTTCGCCAGGCTGGAGTGCAGAGGCACGATCTCAGCTCAAACTTCTGTCTCCCAGATAATTCCCCTGCCTCAGCCTCCTGGGTAGCTGGGACTACAGGTGCGCACCACCACACCCGGCTAATTTTTTTTGCTTTAGTAGAGACGGGGTTTCACCATGGCCAGGATGGTCTCAATATCCTGACCTCATGATCCGCCCGCCTCGGCCTCCCTCCCAAAGTGCTGGTATTACAGGCGTGAGCCACTGTGCCCGGCCCACTCTTTTTTTTTTTTTTTTTTTTTTCTTTTCTCTTTTTTTGTTTTTACTCTGCTTTCGGCTTTGTTTTTACTGTAAGACCATTCTTTTTTTTTTTTTTTGAGACGGAGTTTCTCTCTTGTTACCCAGGCTGGAGTGCAATGGCCCGATCTCGGCTCACGCAACCTCCGCCTCCTGGGTTCAGGCAATTCTTCTGCCTCAGCCTCCTGAGTAGCTGGGATTACAGGCAGGCGCCACCATGCCCAGCTAATTTTTTTTTTGTATTTTTAGTAGAGACGGGGTTTCGCCGTGTTGACCAGGATGGTCTCGATCTCTTGACCTCGTGATCCACCCGCCTCGGCCTCCCAAAGTGCTGGGATTACAGGCTTGAGCCATCGCGCCCTGCCCCTCATTGAGTATTTTTTAAGGTATTCGTATAACTGTAAAAAATAACACTGAAACTGACAGGCACTGCAGAGTGAATCTAGAAATTTCTCTTGCAAACTGGTAGTATTGCTAGATATTTCTCAGACGCTCAGCAAAGTAGATTTTTATGAAAATGGAAGAATAAGACATCACTGAAACTGTCTCTCTTTCAACATTTAGCATTCAAAAACTTTTGGGAGGCATTCATCTGAACATTATTGAATTCTTTTTTTTCTTTGTGGCAGATGACCCTAATTTTCAATGCAATTCAATGGTCTCTGGAGTAAGGAAAAATATCTATGTATGCTCCAGGAAGATTCACCAAGAAAAGATGGCATGTTGTGTCCAAACTTCATTAAACTAAGAGTCAAAAAAACTTTGGCCAGTCCAGCCCATGAAGAAAAATACCTCAAAGGAACATTTACATCACAGTTCATATTGTTCAGTTTTACATGGCTAATAAACATTTGAAGAGCTTATATGTGTTCTGATTTTTGACATTGTTATGGTATGAAATAAGTTTCCAGGCCTGGAATTCCAATTTATGCTTACTAATTCATTATGCCAATGGGAAATACAGGTGTTTGTTTTGTTTTGTTTTGTTTTGTTTTGTTTTTGAGATGGAGTCTCTCTCTGTTGCCTAGGCTGGAGTGCGGTGGTGCAATCTCGGCTCACCACAGCCTCTGCCTCCCAGGTTCAAGCGGTTCTCCTGCCTCAGTCTCCCAAGAAGCTGAGGCTACAGGCATGTGCCACCATGCCCGGCTAATTTTTGTATTTTTAGTAGAGATGGGGCTTTCACTATGTTGGCCAGGCTGGTCTCGAACTTCTGACCTCATGATCCACTAGCCTCGGCCTCCCAAAGTGCTGGGATTACAGGCATGAGCCACTGCCCCTGGCCTGGAAATACAGGTTTGGTATACAATTCAATTTAGGATGACTATCTAGGAGAGGAGGAACTTTTTTGCAAGTGAGAGTATGAAGTCTCAAGGGAGTAAAATAATTTAGGAAATCAATTTAGTAGGTAGCAGAGTCAGAATTTCAACTCAGATCTCATAGCAAAGAATCATGCTTTTTCTAGACATATGAAAGTTGAAAACAAATACTAATTAAAGTAGTGATTTCCAACCTTTTGGGCACCAGGAACTGGTTTTGTGGAAGACAATTTTTCCAGAACCATGTGGGGATGGGGAAGGTGGTTTTGGGATGATTCAAGCACATTACATTTATTATGCACTTTATTTCTATTATTATTACATTGTAATATATAATGAACTAATTATACAACTCACCGCAATGTAAATCAGTGGGAGCCCTGACCTTGTTTTACTACAAATAGATGGTCCCATTTTGGGGCAATGGGATACAGTGACAGATCACCAGGGATTAGGTTCTTATAAGAAGCATACAGCCAGGCCGGGTGCGGTTGCTCAAGCCTGTAATCCCAGCAGTTTGGGAGACCGAGGCAGGTGGATCACGAGGTCAAGAGATCGAGACCATCCTGGTCAACATGGTGAAACCCCGTCTCTACTAAAAATACAAAAAATTAGCTGGGCATGGTGGCATGTGCCTGTAATCCCAGCTACTGGGGGGGCT